CAATATGTCCCCATAACTCTTTTCCAGTAACATGTAAACGGAATTGAAATTCCCATGCCGAATAATTTTTTCCCATAAATTTAACACAAAATTCAGAGTGGTTACTAGCCATTTTCAGCAAAAAACAAGACAAATATAGAGAGATAAGCAACCCAAAATATGACTGGGAAAAAAAAATACCAAAATATGTGAGCTTTTTGAAAAAAATCACACAGATGAAACTTGCAATCTATAGCGGCCTGAAGTTCCAACACCCAAGAATAACCAGAAATTCCAAAACTCTAAGACAAGGGCTCTGATACCATGATAACTTTTGCTTTGAAAGAATTTTGATTGAATGGCTCAATGCCTTTTCATTCTGATTTCCTTGAATATATAGCTGAATATACAATAATTAAATGTTGATTTATCTCTACCTACAGCTATACTGATTTACAGAGAGTTAAGGCTGATTTATCTCTACCTACAGCTATACTGATTTACAGAGATTTAAGGCTGATTTATCTCTACCTACAGCTATACAATCTTCTTATGGAAAGATAATAAATGTTTGCTCTATATGGCAACACTGTATTGTTCTGCTTTTTCTGAATACATCTTTCAAACAATCAAGACTCAACACTACTACAGAGAGGTTTATTCAGCTTAAGATAGAATGGAGGAGCTTTGAATTGGGTATATATAGGAAGAAGATTGAAGCCAAGAAGGACTGGTCAAGTTTGGCGTGACCGTGTGGTGTCTGTTTAAGAGAGAAGGAACAAGCACTTGCAATGCCAACAAAGAAATATATAGTTCTGCCATTAATTTACCAGGTTTATAAATACAGCAGGCAGTCAATTCATCTGGTGAAGAATAGCGGAATCTAAGCAGTAAGCAGCTTGATCTGGGCCTATATAATTTGGGATGAATTCAAATTCCCCAAGAGAGTCAATTTTCTGCAGCATTTTCACATTAGAATTAAAGAAAAGACGGAGGGGTTTCTTGGAAGTTCAGGAAGTGCACCAATGCTTGAGGGTTCAGCTTGATAGTGTTGTACAAATCAAACATGCAATGGTTGGGCCCTTGGTGAAGTCTGGGTGCTCCTTGTTGTATTACGGATGGGTTCCAAGTCAAATGCAGGGGAAATCAGAAATCAAAAGATTTGGTTTTCTATTAATTAATGGGTATTATTATTAATTTTCTTTTTATTGGATTGATTGATGGCAAGCTCATGTGTTAGATCATTTGGTTGGTTCAAAGAAAGCAGCTTGTTTTTATTAATCAAGATTGGAAATTTGGAATTCCCTCCTTTTGTAGGGCCAATGTGGAGCTGGGCTTTTGTTTTGTTTTTTTACCCCATGGGAATACACAATGGGATAACAGTAAATCATAAGAGGGTTTGAATCAAATTGTATCATGAATAGTATCATAAATCAAAAGATCATTTTTTCTGATTTTCTTAAAGTTGTTAAAACTGTTAAGAAAATACTAGGCTCCCAAAAATAGGAAAAATAAAGATAAAAAATGAAGATTCACTTGATTCATAGCAACAAAAAGGAAGATTCACCTGATTAGATAGATATCTCACTATGGAAGGGAAATCAGTTGAATTATCCTTGGGGTTGAGCACAGAAATCTGTTGAATTATCCTTCAAAAGCTTCCCATTAAATGCTGCGACAGTTCTGGAGCACAGAAATCTAGAAATATAAATTTTTGTAGTGTCTTTTCAGAGAGTTTCAAGGATAGTCAGTATCACATCATTAACAAAATCAATGATACAAAACCTACCTTTGCCTCAAATTTAAAATCAAGAAGAATGTTAGCTGCCTTGATACCACAATGAATAATCTTAGGATTACCTATAGTTGGAAATATTTGCAATTAGTATAAATACATGACTGTCATATCAACATCTTACAAATCAATTTGTGGTTTATGATGAGAAGATTATATAAGAAAACTCACAGTCTTCATGCAGATATGCAAGTCATAAATTTTCAATCTAGTGGGCCAGTCCATAGTTGGTCGCCCTTTTCCTGCAAGAAGTTATTTTCAATGATCAGATATTACCTAGAAAAACAGATTTCAGAAATGAGGTATCAAGCATAGTGAGGTATGAGGAGCAACTTCACAAATCAAATTGGAAGTTTCAGATAGTACCCCAAAATGGCCCATAGCCATTCAACCAATAACAATATTTTAGCATTTGACAAGTTTACACGAACACATGTTGAACAAATAAAGATCAAAAGAACTGCTAATCAAATCAGTAACCATAAACTCAGAAACAAATCCATATAACCCTCCCAAGACCCTAGATAGCTGGACCAATATTGGACAATGGCCTTTTTAAACACCAGTATAATTGTATAAAGGGAAAAAGGAAAGTAAAATGATAAATGAAAAGCAGTTCTATGCTACTAGCAGCCAGCAACCTCTAACAAAACAAGCCATATTACCATATTTACAATTTACCTACCCCCAAGTGCAGGTTCCCAATATAGATTGCTCTTGTCAGACACCAAATTTGTTGACCTATGAATCCAGGTATTCAGCCTGAATGCCAGGAAGCCTCTCTAACCAATTTGACCCCAGTATAATTGATCCCTTGATGCCCCTTGCTTTCCTAATTCATCAGGCAATCCATTAGCAGCCCATGGAACCCATTTCTTTGACTTGTAGCTCCTCTATCATTCTTTTTAGCTCTCTTACATAAATCTGTAGTTCCAGGCTACCTCTTGTTTGCCACTTAGCCACCCAATAATTGGTTCTGAATCTCCTTTGACTTTGACTTCTTTCATGTTTAGTGTTTTTACCCTCTTCTTAAACCTGTAAGTGCTCTGCATGCACCTCCACTCAAGTTGAATTTCCTATTCCTAGAGGTCCTGAATAGAACTCTAGGATGTCTCCTGCTTTGTTCCTGAAAACTCTACCTATACCTAAAAACTCTGGATTACCCAAGCTGCAGCCATCAAAATTCAGTTTTATGTGCCCCATTGGTGGTGGAACCCAGCTGACCAAAGGCTTTGTGTTCCAAGAAAACGAACTTGCCACTTGCTTCCAATTTCTGAGAATACTATTCACTGTAAAGAGAGCAGCTATAGAAATCCTATACTTGATATGCAACAATTCAACAAGCGGCATGGCAGAAGCAAAAGATGAACACACACACACACATTGTAGAAAACACTGTTAACATTTAAGTTGCTGATCAAAGAATTAACCAAAGCTAATATTAACATTTAAATTTCTGCTCTCATTGATGGTCTTAGCGGTACCAAATGCAGAAAAGTTTAACCCACCAGGGGGGGGGGGCTTTTATGGTAATGTTCTCTACTTGAATTGAATCTTATTACCTATTAAAACTGATAAAGCTACTATCTGTGGTTGCCATTATCAATTCTAATCGTGGATGTTTACTCCCCTTTCTTAATATATACCTGAATGTTTTAGTTTCTCATGCATTTAATGACATGCTTCTGTCACTTTTACTCCTTGTGTTAGCGGTACATAAACACTCATTTTTGTATATTCCCCACTTTACAGCCCCTTGTTAAACAGGGGTGATGGCCTTTCTCTTTGATACAATACTTTTATCAGTTTTTCAAAAATATATTTCTATTTTCTACATAATGTCGTCTATATTACATATCTTCAGACTTGATATGAATTTAAGCTGAGGTGTCAGTGTTATATCTATTGATTCTGTTAATTTTGTCTGTCTATATGTACACTTCCTCCAAAGTACTCACTTGGATCCTTCAACCTGTTGGGCCATACAGCACCATTTCAGGCTGCATCACTGCTGTTAGGAATTGTACAGATTACTCCTTGCTGCAGAAACTAAGCAATAAACCTTCTAATCATATCAGATTACTCCTTGCTGCAGAAAGAGACTAAAGTTGAAGCATGGATGTATTAAACTCTCACTGCAGAAATTCCTAGATGAAAAATCATAGTATAGGATAGTGTTATCTTAATAGTTTGGAGAAGCCATATCTGACAAGTGATTAGAAACCTCAGAACATGTGAAAAGCAAACTAGCAAGCCAACTTTGTCAATGTTTTCATCTTTATCGGTATAACTATAGGTATTTAATGTAAGTGTACATTTCCAATTATTTTGTCATGATTAGGATTTTTAAACATAAAAATGCTAATCAAACCTGATTGAAAATTTTCCAATCAAAACCTGATTGATCGGGATTTTCAATCAGGTTTCCCCCCTCAGCCCCCACCCCTTAGGGTCATCATCCTGAATCGAAAAGAAGAAATGAAAAAGTATGGAATTAAAGGTAGCAAATCTGGAACCAAATAACATAACAGCCTTCTAACAAAATTCCAAAACCGAAAGCCTAGATAATTACTGAGTAACCCCCAACCACTTTGAGAAGTTTTCGAACTCGGTATAATCACTGTCTGAAATCATCGTCTGATACCATGCCTTGCCTGCGGCCTTTATTGCAGCAGCAGCCTCCTAACAGATACACAAGGCAAAAACTGATGATTAAAAACCTACCACAGACAGCAAAGATTTTACTATGCACATCAAATAGAGAACCGTCAGAACAAATTAACAAGTTAATGCACTATTAGTTTGGAAAGATGATGCACATCTTATTTCAGGAAATATTACACCATAACCAGAGGCACGCCAAGCAATGCTACTTGCAATTTTCCAATCCTAATCAAAACCGGATTGAAGGATGACTGAGAGCGAGAGGGAATACTGTGAGAGAGAGAGGGCGGGAGAGGCCCGAATGTTTTTTAGCGGGCGAGAGAGGGACGACCGAGCAATAGAGGGCGGGAGGAATATTTTAGCGGCAGTCGTTTAGCCTCTAGCGGCAGTTTTAATCGATAAGCTTCGGACAAGGTAATTTCATCTTTTGCCAAAATATGATACATAGTGTATGCTTTGATATGCTTATTATCATTTATTGTAAATGAATAAAGTGCATAAATAATTCATGTCATTATGGTATGTTTCTGTATAATATCTTTAAACTGGATACTTATGAGATTCGTGTTAGTTTAGAATATTCACAGCTGTTGGATAGATCTGGGAAGATTTATCCTAACAAGGCTAACATTAATGTGCCACAAAGTTGGTTGAAGTGGCTTGTCTCAGCTACCAGGGTGAGACTTAAGGTACATGTAGTGTGGGTTTTCTTGAAACATTGAATTTGACCAAATTCCAGTATTGCCCTGGACCTTGGAGATAGATGGACAAAACTRGAATGTTACACCTCACCGCTAAATTTGATTATAGTACTGCACTAGGTGTCGGATTGTGCTGTCTTTAATATGCCAATCAAGAGATCTTTTACTGGGTCAAAACTTGGGTATGTTGGGATAGTCCGAGAATTCATCTAAGTGGGTGATTATAGTGACAGGATCAGCTCATTTGTCAAACAAAGTGAATGATCAGGGAAATGCACTCTCTTTGATGGAAACCTAAACTGTCGGCAATGGATTTCAAATGTGTTTGAAATTTGGTTTTACAAAATATATTTATATAAAGATATACTTATATATTATGGTTTCAAATTGGTTTGCAAAAGGTTTTAATTCCCGGGATCCATGTGAGTAGAGAGTGCAATATTGTACATTGTARCCGAGGGAGATGTCATCTCTTGTTGGGCAGCGTTTGATCATTATGGGCTGAGAGGTTAAGTGTAAGGCCATTGAGGGTAATACTTGATGGGCTAATCTTACATCTACCCACAGTCCTTAGGTTTTCACAAGATGGCCCGACCCAAGGACCATTTAGTGTAAATGTTGGGCCCATTAAGAGCCCATGTTGATAGACTCAGGAGTTTGCTGTGACTTATAGTGAATTCGGCCAGGCCTTGTAACAAATGCTAGGCTGAAYCCATGTGGCTGATGTGTATATCAATGCTAGGGTCCTACGCCATATAAAGAGAACCAAACTAATTCTTGGTTTCATCCCAATTCGATCTCCACCTGTTGGAGTGATCAAGAAGTGTTCTAGATATTGTTTCTTGGTGAAGAAACAATTAAAAGTTGTGCTCACATCACCCTACTCGATTCTTGGTGAAGAATCCCAGGTTCTTGCTAAAGAACTGTTCCTATTGATCATGCCTCTACATTTGCTGTGTCATCTTCAATGGAGGCGGATTTGGTATCCTCTTTGGGCATGAACACCCACGTTGGGAATTCCTTTTAATTCTGTATCAGCTATTTCCCTCTCCTTTCCTTTGGTTTCAGATTTGGTCCGGTTTTATTTCAAGAGCGATCCTTGAAAATGCAGTTTTCTAAAATAGGGATTGCGATTCCTACATGAGAGAGAGAGAAATTTTTGAAATTTCGCCCAACCTTCCTACAGGGTTCGACCATCCATATGATGGATTTCTCATCCCTTCAAAATATTCTATCTGACAATATCATACTTGAGATTGAGTCCAGTGAGGAACTCAAAGACCCGGTTTCTCTCCACTAACTTCCAATGAGCTTAGGATTTTTAGTACACCTCACACAACTATATCCATCAAGTCAAACTCCTGCAAAAGAGATTTCAACATAGAAAAATAAACAACCAAAGATTACTTCTATTGTCTTAAATTATTGACATCATTCTTCATCTTGTAGGCCCTAGCAACATTTAACTTTTGGGAATAGGTAATGCTAACTAATATAAGGTTGCATGGAAATCACTAACCAACCTATTATAGTGTAGTTTTCCTAGATCCACCTCTCATAGGAAGGGTCATCCTCCATAGGTTTCTTCTTGGTCCTAGTGATGTACCCCAATTCCCCCCTATTGCAAACATGAATCTTTATAGATTGAGATCAAGCTAAAAAATTGGTTCCATCCAACTTTATTAAGGTTATTGCCCTTAACAAAGTCTTTACAGGCCCTCCTGGACTAAACCAGGAATCGGTGAAGAGTTTCATCTCACCTCCAATTCGCTCCTTTGGCTAAACAAGCATAAACAAAAATCAAAATAGGGTGTTATTAGTCAAGACTTACTGTCCTAAGTCAAAAATTACACTTCAAACAACCAAATTAGGGTTTTCACTATACCTAACAAAATGAGAGAAAGGGGGAAAGTCTAGCTACTCCTACTAGAGGCTTCAGAAACTTTCCCAACTTGGGTCAATTTCAAAAAATAGTTAGAATGCTTTTATTCTATCTCCAAATGCCACTTCCAGACTCCCTGTATACCCCATAATCAAAAGGCTCTCCAGTTAGCTAGGGTTTTCAGGAMACTCTCTAAGTACTTGCTTATGCCCTAAACTACCACTGCAATCTTCTCCCAATCCTCCTCCAATTGGGCTGAATAATTGTTAACCAATTAACCAATCAACTCTCCATACAACCTATGTATGGGATTAATAAGAAGAGAAGAGAAGGTTAGACCATTGCTTTGATACCAAATTGTATACCCCGCCTACAATTATCTAAAATAAAAAAAAAGAAAAGAATAGAAGAGAAGTAGATTGAAGAACATGGGAGAGAGAAAAGTAAAGGAGGAAGAAGATGGAAGAAAGGGAAGGAAGAAGATAGAGAATTCTAAAACACTCTTCGTCCCCCAATGATCTCTTTTATTCTTTTGTTGTAAAAAATAAGAACAATTACATGAGTGCCCTTAGTAGAGCATCCATCACTAAAGACAACAATAAAAAAGAGAAAACAAGCCCATAACTAAGGCCCACTACCTACTAACACAAGTCATAAACATAACTTAAAGAAAAACAAAACTAAGGTCCATCCAACCCATTATCTCTTAAAAATTAATAAGATAGATAACAAACTGGAAAAAAAAATCTAAAAATTTTATTCCATTTGAAATTTAACGTGTGCAATTGTTCATATATTTATATTGAAATACTTCAAAATTTAAGGGTAAATTATTGAAACTTCCCTTGATTCGTTGCTAAAACCTCCCCTGAACTTTCTAACATAGTTGCAAGTAGAACTCCTTTGTTAAAATCCTTTAACAAGAAGTATGAAAATGCCCAAAGTACCCATCCAATTACTATTGAGGCTAGTTTTTACAGTAAAAACAATATAAACTTTATGAACAACAACAAAAAAAATGAGATTTTAAAGTTGCAATTTTACCTTTGAACAACCAAATTTGAAAAATAAATCAACTTTGAAAAAGAGATTGGAAGGGGCTTGGGGTAGTGATTGATATGAAGGAAAAATTTGGAAAATTAACATTTTGGTCAAAAGTAAACCATATGGGTATTTTGGACATTTTCGTGCCTCTTGTTATAGGATTCTAACAAAGGGAGTTTACTAGCAACTATGTCAAAAAGTTAAGGGGAGGTGATTCCAATTGCCAAACTTCAACAAAAGTTTTAGCAATAGTGAAAATCTTTGGTAGAGGTTTTAGCAATTTACCCATTTTTTGATTTGGTTGTTCTCCAATTATAAGAACAAAAATATAATTTGAACAACCACTTTTATCTTCATTCAAGTTCTTCTCAGTAAGTCTTATATATAAGGTATTAATAACTCATATTAACATTCATTGAATCCTATTCTTGACTAGAATAACCTTATTTTTCAACATGATCTTGCTATAATTGTAAGGACACAAAATGTGTTTTGAACTACTACAGTTCTTATTATTCAATTCCATCTCATTCAGTCTTATATTTAGGGTATTAACTCTCATTCTTTCATTGAATCCTACGTTAATTAACTATTTAAAGAAAATAAGTGTGATATAAAATAATTATTTTTATTAATGGTAAAAATAAAAATAAAATTTAAAACCAACACAAAAACCGAGTTATTTTACTATTTGGTGGCAACTCAGCAGTTCAACCTTTTGTGTCAAATGGGTAAACCCATGATGTCATAATTAAACAACAACAACAACAACAGATGAAAACACACAAAAGTATAAAAATATAAAAAAAAATTGTAGAAAATTTTGGAAACATATTATTTTCTATCATCATTACCATCAAAAAATTGTCACATGCACACTTACTAATGAAAATAAAATGAAATTGAAAAAAAATAATAAAATTGGAATAGAGTAACATAATAAAATTAAAAATTAAAGTTCACAAGATTGGAAAAAATCACAAATAACATTCAAATAAAATTGAAAACCAAAATTTATAATAATGTTAAAAATATTATACAATTACTAAATATTGACTTCAATATTCTCTTGAAGTTCCACCTCCATCTCCTTGACCTTCATCTTCTATTGATCTATTAGTTGAAGTGCCATGTACTCTTGATCTTATAGTCTGTCCTCCACATCTAATCAATCACTGAGCATATGTACATCTCTAGAGTTTTATCTATCATGCAACTTCTTTTCTCATCCAATACCTTTTCATTTACACCAAAACAAGACTTCAATGCACTTGTGGATATCAAAGGGAATAATAGATCACATGCCATGATGACAAGTATAGGATAATTTTGTTGATGTATTTTCTATCAAGCTAAAATATAAAAATTATTTAATTATTTAAATGTGGAA